CACACACACACACGCGCGCGCGCGCGCGCACACACACATATTCACAGACACACACACACACACACACTTTTTGGCGTCGCGGCCCTCGCGCAGCGACAGGGCGGAGAAGGTGGAAAAGCAGCAAACGCGCGCGCGTCAAAGTGCGCGCGAGCTCTGTGAGACCGCTTAGGGTCCCGCAGTCACTGGCAGCCATAAGCCATCCGGGCGTGGATGGCAGTGGGTGCGGTGGAATAACGAGGCTACGGTGCGGTGGAGGATGCCATAAGCCATCCAGGACTGGATTGCGGGGGGAGCGGGTAAGCAGCGTGCAGCGACAAGGAGGCCAAGCTCGGCCTAGAAGCTCAACGGGCGGGGAGTCACGAGCCTACGGTGAGCAGGTGCCATAGCCAGCCAAGGGCCACACACACACAACACACACACACACACACACACGTACGCACTCTCCCTGGATAATCGCTTCGCACAGAATGGCGGATCGCACGCCTCGCGCGCTTTCCGCCGCCCCGTGAAGATGTATAAGAATAATCACTCTGAACGCTGTGCTTGGTAGCCGAGTGAGGGAGTCCGCTCACACGAAGGCTCCATCTCGGGCGCGCGGTCACTTTATGCGGCCCGTCGTATTATTGCGCTCTTCTTCGCCTTCTCCTCTCCCGGCGGAGGGGCGCACCGTGGAAGTCAGTCGGAGCGCGGCTCACACGGGGCCCACTGCGGGGGGGAGGGGGGCGGAGGCAGGGCGGAGCCCAGCGGAGGATCAGGGACAGGGATAAAAGGACGCCAACTGTACACCTACACCAATCCTGATCAGGCTCGTTCTGGGCCCAGGAGCGGTGTACAGGCAAGGCCCAGGATGATCGGCATGACCAGGATCGGTGCAGGTGTGAGTTCGTGCTCTCTCAAAGGGGGGAATCAAAAACTCACCGCGGCTCCCAAGGCGAACGTACGTTGCCGCTCGTCGGAGCGACGGAGGGCCTCTCCGATTCTTACAGTGAACACGCTGCGGTGTCCGAGCGCGAGGCCTTCGAGTCTGAAAGCACCTGGCGCGGGACTGGGTCGTGCGGGGTGCGATATTCGATCAAGAACGGCTCGTGGGCGGCGGGTGGCTTGACCCTCTCGTCGGGAAACTCCGCGCCAGCGGCGGAGCTCTCCGCTCGAGGCCGCAGCAATCGCTCACCCCGATCCAATTCTGCCCGCCCACGCGAATCCGTTCCGAGTCGCACGCGTCTTGGCTGGCCTCGGGGCGAGCTGTTGTCGTTGCCTTCACGTTGTTCGTGTTTCGTTTCTCTTCCATGCCACGGGGCCCAGGCTGGGCCAACCCCCGTCTGCCTTGACCCCTTTGGAACCCTCTGTGCAGCGCGATGGAGTCCCGCCACAGGCGCGTACATTGACCGGATTCTTGGTCTAAGCCCCGCGCTTCCGAGATAAAACACCTTCGCTGTTTGCGGACATCCTCCTCGTCCTCCTCCTCCCTTCCCCATCCCATGAATTATGCAAACGTTCTGGCTTTCAAAGACGGTTCTGGCCTTCCTCCACTGAGCCAGATTGGCGCCGTCGTCGCGTCGACACCTGCAAGCTGAGGCGCAGTCACTCATTGCCGGCATCGTACAATCGCATGTGTACGTCCTGCAATTGAACCAGCTCTCGTTTTCGCACTGTGAACCAAGGTAGAAAGAAGACGCTGATGCTGCAAGTCACCCACAATGACGAGCACACATTGCATACAATGTAAAACAATGTCGATCCCACAAGTGGAGATAGCATGGCATCCGCAATATGCCGAGCACCCCCAGCCATCGCCTTTGACACCGTTCCCCATTCGTCATAAGCCAGCACTCGCGAGAGTGCTAACCCAGTCGCTGCACTCATGACAACCATAACCCAGATCGGAGCGTCGAGAGGAGCTTCCCACGCATAGCGACCACCCAACCAGGTGCGAAAGAACGTGTGCGAAACTAAGATGACTACAAACCCCTCGAAATACATAATGAGGTTCAGGCAGTTCAGACCCAGCCTCTTCTTCAAAACAGGGTCTTTCAGGATGCGCTCGTTCGCAACGTTTGCAAATGATGAGATCAGGGGTGAAGCTACCATCGTCCAGATCTCAGCAGGGGCCAGGCTCAGCGGCCCGCGCCTCTCCAGTGGGAACGTCCTCAGCAGCCCACCAAAGAAGAGGAAGCACAGCCCGAGCCACTGCTGCGCGGGAAGGCAGCGGCGGAAGCAGCATGTCCAGGCCAGCGCGCTGAACACCACCGACACGTTCGTCCAGACGAGGTACTCCCGCATCTGCATACCCCTCGCGAAGCACCCGACCCAGAAGTCGCTCAGGGCGTACGCCGCTGCGAGGGGGAGCAGCCGCAAGCCCGCCACCAGCCACAGGTAGGTGGTGCCCCCGGCCTGCTCGGGTGCATCAGAACGAGGGCGCATCGCGAGGCCATCGCTGCACGCCCCCCAATCTCCGTCCCCTCAGCTCTGGGCGTCGTGAAAAGCTCTAGCATCGTGACTCCTTGCACGCCTCTCAAGAATGCCGAGCGCTGTCTGGCAGGGTTTCTGCATGTTTTCTAAGGTCCCCGCACATGCACCACACAGCGGACCATGCTTACATACCCTTCCCCCCCTCTGAGGCCGGGCCGCCCCGACGTCTCCCTCGGGGTCTCCGAGGCCCTCCGAAACTTCCAGGGCGGCCTAGGAAGGCCACCGAGGCCGCCAAGATGGCCAAACATGGCCTCCAGAGGCACAGTCCCAAAGAAGACCCCAAGACGCGCCACAGGGCCCCAAGAGGTTCCCAAGGTATCAAACGAGGCGAGGAGGCCCTCGAGGAAGGGCAAAAGTATTCCAAAAGTCTTCGAGTATCAGACAGCTGTAAAATATTCGACGCTTCCAGAGCATCTCGGCTCAAGATGGTTCCAAGAGGGCTTCGGAAGAGCCAAAGAGAGACCAAAAGAACCCAAGGAGGGTCTGCAGAAACCCCCAGATGGCCCAGGACAGCCTTGAGAGGGCTCCAAGATGGCCCAAGAAGGGCCCAGGAGAGCCTGAGTGGACCCTAAGAGGCTCCCAAGACTACCCAACAAACTAACAGACGGCCGAGACAGGCCCAAGACGGCACCAGGACGTCCCAAGAGGGCCCCACAGGAGCTCAAAACAGCCTACGGACGGTTCAGGTAGCTCCCATGAGAGCGCCTCAAGGGAGTGAGACGCAAGGTGTCACATGTTACGGCCTTCTGGGCGGTGCTCGAAGCGTCGCCGCACGGAGTGCAACGCGGGCATGGTGGCGGGACTCGCCGCAGGCAGCTGGGCAACACCGGACGTCTTTGACTTGATTCGAGCCCGGGGACCCTTACGGATCGATCCAGCTCGAGAAATCACGCCAAATGTTAATCAGGTCGAGAGATCTGCGTCGTGCCTGTGTTACGACGCTGTGACGTTTCACGCAACGTCGGATCTGGGTGTCCCCTCCTCTCTCGCCCCCTATGGATGAGGAGTGGAGGGGGATCGGGGGACTGGGCCAGATTGGCTGCCTTGCCGAGGGCCTCATGCCCGGGAAATGTGTTACCTAACCCAGGGCGCGGAAGCACCAGAGGAAAGACCTAGCCAGCTCGTGGCGCGGCCATATGTCGGGTGTCCATCCTGCCCCTAGCCCTCCTGGGAAAAGCCACGGGGCTGGAGTCGCAGACTTCGGGAGGCACCAGGACGTGGCCGTGCAGCCTCGGAGGGCGAGGTGCCTAGTCGCCAGAGACAACTTCATTGGCCTGTCCCCTGCCCCGCCCACACCCCCGTCCCAGCAGATCTTCGCGGATGGAGGCATACGAGAGGCACCTACTGGGAGGAACATGTCTTGCTCTGGGGAAAAAACCTGGACGGGGATGCGAAGGAAGGGCTCCGATTGCACATCTTCGCCCGTCGGCTGGTTTTCTCGGCACCGCAAAAGCCGGGCCCGAAGCGTGGACTACGTCAAGGCTTGGGGCGACGCGGCTGCACTGGTGCCCCTGCAGATCAAAGGCGAGCACCCCCTGGGGGCTGGGCCCTGCCTCTTCACCGTCGTCCGAGCCGTCGTCAGTGCTGACGGAGCTGCGCATGTCCACAGAGCCAGCTTCGAGCATGGCCTGGGGTCGCGACTCCAGCAGGAATAGAAAAGCCGAGATCACTCCCTTGAATGCCTCCCTGATCATCAGCATCGCCACAGTGTCCCAAGGAACTTGCCCACCATTTCGGCGTGCTGCAAGCTGAGCGTACACGTGCGTGGACACAACGAAGCAAGTGTATACCGCCAGTGCGCCAACCACCCGCACGTCCGCCTTTCCTATAGATCTGCTGGTGTTGCCCGTACGAGTGAGCATCCCCACTGTGATGTACAGTACAAACGGCAAAAATGTCACCAGTGAAACTCTTACGATGAATGACTCTGGGCTTGGAGGCTGAGGTAGTTCTTTGAAGGCGACTCGCTTTGCGTCGCCAGGGCACGTGATATGCGAGAGTCCAGGAATTATGGACACGTCAGTCGACTCAACGCTCCAACCAGGAGGATTCGATGCCAGACGCTTCCACAGGTCTTTTTCAAGGTCCCAAGTCTTGTGCCATGTCGGCTTCACGCTCCACGGCTCATAGTAATGATTTGACGCCATGTTCGCCAAAGCTGTGCCAGCCATACCAAACGCATATACTTTATCACAGATTACTAATGCCGCGTACATACCAAGCGCCCCTGTGGAAGGTATCCAAGACTCGCCAGAAATTCCACTCAAATCCACCTGACCCTGTGGGGTCTCTTGGCTGTGAAGATCACGTCACATTGGCTCCGAAAGTGTTGCTAGCTCTAGTGCACAAGATTGAACGTGGTAGTCAATCCGTGCCCCATTCTGTAAGAGTCCCCTCTCGCCCCCCACAGCGTCCTGAAAGCGCGGCCTGGGGGGTCCCTACGATTACTGGCCACCCACGAAGCCTCGTAAAGTAGAAGAGGGCCACGATATAAGGGCAATAATCCCTTGCAGCTCACTAGAGATCCGCGCTCCCAAAGCCACGACCCATAGCAAATTACAATGCATCCGCGCTCCCAGCGCCCTGCTTAATTGTATATTACACGGGGTCTAGGAAGACAAGGCCACGACCCATTGTAAATTACGATGGGCCCACGCTCACAAGGCCACGGTCAGTAATGAATTGCGAAAGATCTGCGCTGTCAAGGCCACTAACCCTTGATGGGTTCCAGGGACTCCGCGCTCACAAGGCCAACGATCCTTCGTAAACTGACACCACGTGGACTGGTGAGCCCTGAACGAACGCGGCTTTCTGACAAATGAGCTCGTCTAGTGCTGGCTGGGCTCAGGCCGCCAGCGGCGTTCAACTTTCAACATTGAACGCCGGCGCCAGCGTCGCCGTCGCATCGACACGACACGAATCGACCGTACCGGACGGAAAGCCGACGGGCGCCACTCGACGTTCCGCTGGGGGGCGGAGCACGTGCGGGATACGGCTGCAGCACCGCGACCCGTTCTAAATGCCAGGGGTCCACGCTTCCAGGGCCACGATCCCTTGTAAACTGTTAGGGCTCCTTGATTCCAAGACCACGAATTCTTGCCAGGAATCTGCGCTCGCAGGGACACGATCCCCCGTAAATTACGAATCCCTGTTGCAATTGCCAGACGCCGAGTGGCTTCTGGGCAACCCAAAAAATCGCGAAAGATCCAAATCATGATCCAAGGTCGCCATGCGAAGGCTCCAGGAACCTCCAGCCCAAAGAGCAGCCAGAAGGACCGAAAACTGCCCCGAAAGGGCCCCAGATGAACCCAAATGGGGCCCCGAGGGATCCAAAGAATGAAGGACACCTGGACGATTCGAGAATGGTCTCCAGACGGACCCAATGGCCCCCAGGAGGAGAAGCAGCAGCAAGAGGATGAAGACGACGACGAAGGCGACGAGTGAGCCCTCGATGTGTGGAGCAGGTGGTGAGAGCAGCAGTGGCCGAAAGCCTTCAAATTTAACGAATCATACATGGCCTTGATGTCACGCGTAAGTGATTCGTGCACGCTGGGCTGCAGAAGGTCCAACTCTACCTCATGGTGAGAAGAACTGACCATGTGCATGAAATCCCAATAATGGTAAGCATCAGTCCAATCATCCCACACACAAACATACGATGTACTGATGTTGATAGAAAACTCTTGGAGCGGGTACGTCTCCATTACGGGCAGAGGTGCGAAATCCATTGTCCAGACATGCTTAAAGTATTCGTTGTTCACCACGCGCATGTCAGTTCTGCTACCCACGTACTGCTCGAAACCATCGGCAGGAGCGCCGTTGAACCTTATCACCAAGTCCGCCTCGTCTATCAGAGGCCCATGCTCGTACTGGTTCAGGACGCCGCCGCTCGACACAACCGCACAGACATTCCAGCGAGAGAAAAGCTTCCTGGACCTATTCCTCCATGGAAAAGTGTAATCCCAGCTCCACAAGCTATGGTGAGCCCCGCGTTTCAGCCTGCACAGCAGATCCAGAGACTCATCCGAGATGTTTCCGAGCCCTGGCAACTCCCCTCCGCGGACCATCCTCGCTGGACTACCCCCCCCCCGCCAGCACCGCTGGTGACGCGGAGCCTCAATGGCCACGACAAGGGCGCCTTCCCTGCAGCCGCGCCAGACTCCTCACGACAGGGTCACGCTCAGAAACCTCCCTTCGTGTTCACACTCTGGAGGGACCTACCGTTCAAAACAACGGCTCCACTTGGTCCATCGATTCACACTCACGTTGTCGCCTAGACCGTGCGCCCACGTCAAAGATTGTAGGACTCTGCGTATAGCTAATCTACGAACACACCCGTCCGGTGGAATCTAGGAGACACGATGAGTGTAAAGAGTCGGTTCTTTTCCCAGCTGGCCTCTCCTCACTGACCCAAAAAGGATCGCTCTGCCAGGGTCCCAGGGCCCAAGCTGCGGCAGAACGCCACCCCCCAGGGTCCCTGGGCAGGGTCTGGGCTGACCCAGCAACGGCCGAGAATAACAGCCTTACACGTCTCCACGTGGCTCAAGACGGTCCTACGGCCGCTGATCCTCGCCAGACGCCCTCAAGGCGGCTCATGAAAGCCCTGTGAAGATAGGTGTGGGAGTTCGGAGCGACCTTGTTGGGGGGCTCCGTAGGGAGTCCCAGGCGGGGCATTTGACGATCCGGGTGGCACAAAGTCGAGATAGAAGTCCCATGTGGATCGCAAACCACTCACAGCCCAAGAACAAAAAACACATGCCCTAATATTAAGTTTCTCCATGGGGGGAACCTTTCATGTCTAGATATATATATATATATATACATATATATATATATATATATTCAGATAACCACATTCGCAATGATTGTATGCCCTTGTGTGAAAAATGAATGTACATATACATGTACGAACGTAAAGAACTCCTCAGTGCGCGCGTGTGTAGCAAGAAAAACTTAAAATATGTGTTCCAAGGCGACTATTATCGAAAGGGGTTTCCCGGACACCGTCAGAAAGGCTGATCTGGGGAACACCATACGGGAGACCCCCCAAAAAAAGAACCCCCCTAATCCCCAGGGGTCCCGGGAGAACCCCCAAGGTTGCCTCTAAACGCACCGTCAGGAAAGGGTAATAAGAAATTGTTTCTCGACACCCCCATAGAAAAGACGCAACCTCCGCTTCAAAGCTGATCGGGAAACGGGTCCTGGATCCTCCCCGATCCTCGATCCTCCTGATCCTGCTCGATCCCCCTCGATCCGCCTCGATCCTGCTCGATCCTCGATGCTCCTCGATCCTCCTCGATCCTTCTCGATCCTCGAACCTCCACCCTGGCGCTCCCAGGGGGTCCACCGCTGGGCGGGAGGAGAGGGCGACGGTCGGCGGGCGGGCGGGCGGGATCCAGACTTTGAATTCAACTCCTTGGGGTGCGAAGCTTGGAGCGAGGCCTGCTCTGGGCGCAGCGCGCCCCTGCGGTCCGGATTCGCGTCTATGGGGAGGGCCTGGGAGAACCCCCAGAGAAAAATCTAAGAAGAAGTCGGGGGTGAGGGTTTCTGGGAGCATCCAGGGGGTAGGGGGGGAGAGAACAACCAAACAAACCAACAACAAAACTACGAGGGGTAAGATTTTCGCACAGATCGGACAACCCTCCGCACTCAAAAAAAATATATGACGGGTCAGGAGGGAGGGCCGAACTGCCGTTCACGACCTGCCCGAAGACATCCTGCGATGGCACCAAGCTCTCCTGTGACGGCCCGACGACTTCACCCTGCAAGACCCAGACCCAAGAGGCAAGAATCACTGAAGAAAACGTGCGCTTTGGGGGAGGGCTCCACTCACACCTGGTCACGTGCAGGCTTCCCCTGGCATCCAACGGCGCCCTGGCGAAAGCGGGGCCTGGAAGAAAATGATTTGGCCAGATCGCGGCAGCTGGTCGACAACATTTTCGCAGGACAACCAGCCCTGGAAGACAGACATTCGCAACCGAAGGGGGGGCGCGGAACGCAAAATGATTGGGACAAGGAAGCTCGAGCATGCAGTAAGGCCTGGAAGACAAGAAAACCTACAGAGAAGGCGCCCTAGCTGGGAATGCGAATTGAAATAGAATTCATGGCCGGGAAATCTGAACAGATAATTTGTTCAGATCTCGTGGCTGTCAAATTGCAATCTGGCAGGCCACGCAATCTGTCAGATTACGTTGCCTGCCAGCGAGAAATCTGGTTTCAAGTGGGCGGTCCTGAAATACCACGCGCGGCATGAACAACAGGCCGCGATTCAAATATGAACCTGGACGAGACGGAATTGAATGCACACTGGCGCCTGGGAAAATAAAGTGCACGTGCAACGGGGCTTAGAAAGGTCACTTTCAACGGACTGGACCCCATGAAACAAAAATGTGGTCTCACAGTGATGCCTCGAATGCTCTTATGACAAAAAAGGCGCCTGAAAAAATGACAAGTGATGGGGCGGCGGAGCATGAAGAAATTAAGTTCAAGTAACCTGTGGTCTGAAAGCTGAACTTTTATCACCAACTGAGGCTGGAAAACGGAGTTTTCGCAAATTGGCAGCGGAGAGTGGAAGAACGGAAAATGACTGGACAACGAGGCTGGGCTAAAACAATTTCGCAAAGCAATGGGACCTCGAACTCAATCAACAACTGGGCCCAGGCAGCAGGAGTCACAATAAACAACGGAACATTGAACAACGGGGTGAAATTAACATCGATAACTGGAAAAATAAATGAACACCACGAGTTTGCCTGCACGATCAAGCATTGAATAAAAAGCAACCCACCAGTCAACAACGTTGCCCTAAATGAAACAACTCGAATCGAAAGTGCCAGCGGGCAGGTAAGTGAGATATGTGAACCACCAGCGGAGCGTGCTAAACGAGAAACCGAACACTCACCTCTCCCTGGAGAGAAATGAACAAACCACCAGGCATGACAGCACGGCGTCGAGCGCAGATTTGCTCACATAGCTTCACTCGCCCAATAGGCCGCACATTTGTTGTCCAATATTTCGGTCGCGTTCGGGACGCGCATAAGCCCATTCAAACAACCGATTGCCACGAAACGCCCAATCCAATATTATCCAGCCTCTCCGCCAAACCCTAGAAGCTGTCTCCAACAGCGGCTGCCAAAGCCTGCTCGACAAAGACGAAAAACACGAAAGAAGAAGGGGAAGAGAAGAGACGCGAAGAGGAAGAGAGGGAAGAAACGGGAACGTCAAGGAGAAAGGAGACAGGGCTAGAAGAAGATAAATGAAGAACGCAGGCAACAGCAAGCAGGGCGACAAACGACAACAAGCAATAACAAGCAACGGACGAAAATATGTTCCCTGTTGCCGTCGTGTTCAGCCGCCGCTGTCTCGTTACTTTATGCGGATTGGCGATTTCACCCTGGCGGGTGGTAGCACTCGGCGTTTCAGAAGAGCTCGAAAACAAATACTGGTTACCTGACCTCGCAGCAACGGGGACAAGTAAGCTCACCACAAACGTATTCGTCCAAACAAATGTGGCACCCGAGTGGCGCCTCTCCAATACACCACCACGCGAGCCTGCAGCTGCCACAGAACCCGCTTCACAGGTGTGGGAGCAGCAGGAACGCCACGAGAAGGGAGGGGACGAAAGGATTGATAACAACACATGCGGATCAACAAAAAAAAAAAACAACAAACTAACCCGAACCATGACATAACAAAATGAAGCCCACGCACGCACACACACACACACACCAACAACACAACATTACAACACTCAGTATATGTTTACCATGTATGCAGACACATGATATGCGCATGTTGTTGACAATCACACAACACATGAAACTGAAAAAATGATACCATATTTTTTACAACAAACAAAACGATAACAACGACAATAAATAGCAAACAATAAGTAACTCAACATGGTAAACAAAAAACAACCAACAACAACAACAACAACAACAACAACAACAACAACAACCACAACAACAACAACAACAACAACAATACATGTTATGTTTAAGACAAATGGGAAGTTCGAGACACGCGGTCAGGGCGCCCAGCCGCCAAGCGTGCAAAACGTAACGAAACGAAACGGCGGGGAGAGAAGAGGGCGAGGGGAAGGAGGGAGAGAGGGCGGGAGGGTGGGAAGGAAGGACACGAAGGGAAAACACCCGCACGCAACGCACACAACAAGAGAGAGAGAGAGGAGGAAAAGCGAGATGGAAGGGCCGAGCCCAACGGTGGCAACGCGCGAACCACACACATTGTACTCCGCACACGGCGGCTGGGGTGAAAAAGAAAACGGGAAGCCAGGAGAGGACGCCACAATAACAGGCAAAAACGAACGACAACCAATGACAGCGACAACGAGACACGACAACACCGAGCACGCACCGCAGGGGGGAAGGGAAAAGAAAGGAGGAACGAGGAAGAAAAGGGGGAAGAAAAAATGGGGATAAGCCCAGCTCAACCGCATCACGCGCGGAGCCCACGGAAACGTTGAAAGGCAAACGGGGCCCGCGAAGAAAAAGCGCTGCTCAAGCCAGGGAAATTTCGCGCCCGCGCACGGAGGAGGCGCTGCAGGCGAAACTGGGCCACTCCCACAGACGAAGCAGAACGACGGCCTTTCCAAATGGCGGCGGCGCCGCGGCCAGGAACGAAGGGGGTGGGAAGACGGGCGGAAACAGGGAAGCAAGACGGGCCGAGACCAAACACGCTCCAATGGATCACGCCCAGCACGCTGATATCTCGGCGGGGGCTCAGAGGCGAGAAGCGAAACCGCACGAAAACATCAACCCCGAAGATGTTCAACGGACGAGCAAAAGGCCGCTGAGCCGCGCCCGCGAGCAATTAATTGCAGTAGACATTAGAACAGCATGCAATCAATGACACAAAACAGATCTTTGTATAAACCAACGATTTCTGCACATCTTGCCCAGGCCAACGAAGTCCCCGCGGGGGTCTCCACGGTGCCGAATGCGCCCGTGCCCTCCAAGCTCGCACTTGCCGAACCGCTCGTCGACGTTCTCCGCGTCGTTGCCGGCTGCGAGCAACGCTGCGACGTGGACCCACGCCTGCTCCTCGGCCTCGCGGTGACCTTCGGCATGAGCTTGACTTTCTGGTGAAACTGCGCGG